AACATATATTTTGCCGAACGATTTTGCTTAGCTGAGGAAATAGAGCAATTTTCTTGTTAGATATATTTCAATTAGTGCAGTCACGCTCATCATTTATGCACATTGATCACTATAGAGCAATCAACACGTTAATATAGTTAATACAATTTCAGAAGAAACGTTTTGATATATTCGTCCTTTAACTAACCCACTTCGGTGTTTCCAAGTTCATAATGTTCTCAAAAATGTTCAGTGCGATTGAGAACCACATTGAGTACTTGAATTTCTGCAAATCTCGTTGTGGTTCGCTGAGGAGGCATGCGAACATTTGTATGGCGATAGAATGTTGATTGAGTTACTGTGGCCACAATTGGGATGTACTACATGACTTCATGTANGAGTCGTAACAGTTAAAGACGCCGTTACTCACACCTAAAAAAGGTATGCTTGATTATTTTACGCTGTGTAGCTATAAGAGGAACAAAAAATATTGAAGTCCAATAACAGCTGAGCGCGCAGGTGGTATTTTGAATTAATGAGAGCGCAAAAAAAATGATTGAACAGCAAAAAAACCAACTAAAAATACATCGTCAATTAACACAATTTAGTTTTCCGTTTGCTTGTTCAGTCTTTTTGCAGGATTTCTGTCGAAATTTTTCAGTTGATGCACAGTTTTCATCGATCATTCATTGATTTATTGCGGCCATTTGTTCACAAGCACACTAAACATGAATAAGAAGAGTTAGCATTATGAATCCTTTCCAGATTTCGTTGAGCTCTTCACTTCGTCCAGAAAATTATTCGTTGTTTTTATTGGGAAGCCATATCTGCCCCGTGTATCTCAAATATCTCAAATGAACTCCTTAGCAACTCTCAAAGGTTTCCTATGTACTTACAGCTATAGCGACAAAAATTTATATTGTCCCGTTTATATACATTCGATAGGAAATCGACGATTTTCGATTGTTTTAATGTATTCTTAGTTCCTTCATATATCCGAGGGAAAATATTGCAGTGGAAAACGTTATTCGAGGTATCCTTCAATCAACCACAGGCGATTCGGCTTTTTTCAAGATTAATAATTTTGAGAAATTATAGCACCTTCACACTGATTTTAGTTTTCAAAAATTACTGTCTCACGAATGAACCTACAAGAGTGGGAAAGGTTTTATGGTCATCTCGCGCCTTTCTTCGTGAACCTTTTAAGCATCCATCAGAATATTGGATGCATTAATGAATTGCTACTCCTTATGTGATGAATGCTTATGTGATGAATATTGAATATTTTTCCCTCATTCGTTTGATAGCGCCATCTTGTGCTGGTGCAAGAAAAAACATTAACATGTTTATCACAGCTAGTAAGAGTAAAAAATGCCATTTTCTTATTATTTCACCTATAAATGTGCCCTGCTTATCATCTCAGTGATTGCTTTTTGCTGATATGGATGAGAAATATCAACAAAATGCAACAATTCTTATCAAATCACGTGGGTGCACTCATGATTTCACGGGTTGATCATGTCTCCAACTCACCTATTTCTTTCCAATGCCCGACATTTGAGTGCTTTCGAAAGGTATGCTTACTTGTTGGTCTCTAATGTACGCAAAAGAAGGAAATTTGCTCATAGCTGACGGTGCTTTTTGATCTTTCATGATTGCTAAATATAGTAGTCAGACTAAAATTGATAACGAAACAATTACTTCCACTATTATTTCTAATAATTACTTCCAAACAATTACTTCTAATGCTGAATAGTAAACTAAAACAATTACGAAACAGTTACTTCTATACTTCTAATACTTTGTTGGAAAAAGTGATCAGATTAACAAATCAGCAAAAAACATAATTATCATTGGTTTCGTCATTAGTTTCACGTAATTTACTCACGACTCTCAGCTTTTTTTTGCGTTTTGAAACGCTCTACTACGTTCACATTCTTTCTTAAGCGCATTTGTTTGATATCTATAATTGGGTGCACGAAAAGACTTGTTTTTGATTGTGCGAGTGCGTGATAGCAGTTAAATTTGCATTCGTTATTGTAGTTTTCAGATTATTAATAGTGCTTCAAGTCAACTGATAAACAGTGGTACTGAGAAGGACTGCAATGGTGATAAAAATTTAATTGTGATCAGTGGTTGTGGTGCATATCGTTGATTCACTTCGTTGAGCTCGGTTGAATATATCCTAGAGACACGGTCGCTAGCATCAAGCTGAGAAAGACCGAAATCTCAGTTGAAACGGCGTTTGGTCGGTCACACGACGATACGGTGGAGTCAGCACACTTGGGCGCTATTAGATCCATATTGAGGAAGCGAGATTGTGAACGCTCCTCCTCAATAGGTGTGGTTAGTTATTGCTTCTTATTTTTTGCAATCAGTATCAACCTTCGAAAATAGGACAGTATTTTTGAGCATTATTTCAGCAATATGCCATGCTGCCATCAATTAGTTACGGCTTTGTTTCATCAGGAATTTCTTGCGGATGACCTTTTGAATCGATAAAAGTTTAATGCTATCAAGAAACTCCATCGATCTCCATCTTATTGCCACAAGGACTTTTTACCTGTCAAATCAAGATCTGATAAAATGATCTTTTCGAATATGTCAATCAAGTAGCACCTGAATGCACCTGAGTGTAAAGTATAGTTGGAAATTCTGCATTTTTTCAATTAGACGCCGGTGTGTTTGGTTGGTTTGTAGCAAAAATGAACCTGCTGCCTGATCCTTTCGTAAAGTACAGTTTTGTCGTGATACTAATCCGAAATACCGTAAGTAATCCTTGATTAATAAGTTTCTACACTCTGCTCTAGTTATTCATCATGCAATCGAAAGTCTCATACGTGTAAACAAGTCTGTTCCGTATAACTTTGAACAACTCAACTCTCAATTGTCAGAGACAATTACATTGGTTCCTTGGGGACTTCTTTAAGTCCACTTCCTAAAATTGATGACATTTGGTTCGTCAGTGTTGAAAAATTCGCATTTCATGAGGAAGAGTTGGTAAAATTGCCTATATTGTCGGATCAGTTAGCTTAAGTGCACTGAATAGGGCAGTGATAACATTAATGATTCATTAACCATTCATACTAGGTAAACAGTCTCTTTGACTATAATATTATGGCAATTAGAATTGTTGAATGTCAACCAATAAATGCTCTCTCATGATATACTTAGTATGATTTCCGAAAATGAGCTGTGACCCAGAAGGTGGATTTTTTAAGATGTTCACATATTGGCGATCAAAGTTGGTATGAAAGAATCCTTATTTGTTGGTACGTTTGAAGAGTCGAATTTTGTGAACAGGACAGATGGCCGACTAGTCCAATCCACTTGATTTGAGGGATCACATATTGGGAATTCTGACATCGAAACTGATCCATGCGTCCGATTAACATTCCGCACAAGAAATATATGCAGTGAATATGTTTTAGTTAATACCGATTTGACGAATGAAGATCCCACATGATACATCCGAAAGAGCGTTTACTTTCAACATTACTTCTGCTAATCTTTTTGAATAATCTGAATTATGCTCTCAGTTCCAGATAGTTACTGTAATCGCAACTCTGTTCATCTTAATAAGTCTTATAATTAGTATTCGTGTTATCTGTGTAGTAATTAGTAACAAATTTATGTTCACATGATACTCATTGGGAATTTTTGCATAGCAAGCACTATACATGTGCACGGATGGCCGAGTGGTCTAAGGCGCCAGACTTAAGTGATAACACATTGAGAGTTCTGGTATCGTAATCGATGCGTGGGTTCGAACCCCACTCCGTGCAAATCTTTTGCGGTCTCATCCTCATTGTCAGAATACTTCGACCTGCGACGGCCTTCACTTATACTGTTGAATCACTATTCCAAAAATGGCACTGACTTCCTCAAAAGCAACGAAAACTGTCATGAAACACGCAGTGATTGAATTTCGATACAATTTCCAGTGACACTTCCACTATTCGTCGATGTGAAGCGATCGAGCGATATTGTTGAGTATTCGGTGGTTGGCTGTCTTTCCGGATTCAATAAAACTGCCTACAATTTAAATGAGTGCCCATCTCGTTTTACCTGCTCTTTCAACTGGATATCATTCATTACGATAACGAAATGCTCATCAATAAGCTATCACTTATTTATTCTTGTTATATTATCAATTTTGTGTTCATACAACTGGTATTCGCAACGCAAACCCGAAGAACAAACGCCACTCATGACGTTAGTTCAATAACACGACTCACATTATTTCCTATCTGAATTTCTGTGAACACACATAATTCTTCTATTGAATTGTTTCCATGATCGGTAACGGATCAATGAAGTTCAACAAAACTCTTTTTTTAAAATTTACATAATAATGATAGCTCCACAAGGCTCTCATGCTATTAGAAGACTAAATATAATTTGATACGTGAGAATATGGTCAGTATCTGAAATTTAGGACAAATTTGCCGCTGAAGAATCAAGTATCGAATTGGTTTCGGGTAGGCATCGACGAGAGTCAGCTGTATGGGGTGAACCTGCACCGGACTACAGCGGTGTAGTACTAGATGGAATGACACGATACGTGCACGCGTTACTTTTCGTTGATTCTAAAATCGTATGTTATTTCTAGAGGTTTTTGCCTTCGCATGGCTAAAAAGATTCCTATGTCTGTTGCTGGTTTGATCTTATGGATTGATCATTCATTCTGAACACATTTCATTGTGAATTGTGAAATGTAATTTTCAATATGCAGAATTGAGTAAATTCGAAAGAACCTCTATAAAATGCGACTGTACCCTACCAATGAATCCACTCGTTTTTCATTCAATCGAAAACATCTTTTCAGACAAGGCATTACAACTTTGATATGCCGAACATCAAAAAAGAAGTCTTGAAAATGATCAAAGAGGCGAACGATGTTAGTTGTTCTCGGTTTGCATCGAATTAAAAAACGCTTTGTCATTTCTAGCGAACGTAGTCTTCTCAGACTTCTTCGAACATTCAATAATTAAGCAATAATTGCATTTTTATTCAAATGTGTTGAACATTGCCGCCATTCGATAAACTCAACTTCACTGGTGATAATTATGATTGAAAATTTAGTACTTCTATCAAATCAACCTTCGAGTTATTGTGGTCGATGTACTGCAAACACAACGTAGCGATCTCAGTTTATATTCGTTCGAAGATTACCGGAACACGAGGTAGCAACTCATCATACTTACCATTATCCACTTCCATATGCTGGCAATAAATCTTATTTGATCTGAGTTGAACGGTCTTACTTAAAAGTCGCAAGAGAGATGGTTATTGCCCTATTAAAGAGCGTCATTAATCACAGCAAATGTACTTTAGTATAGCGCTAACTACCTAGATCAATTTTGAATGGAGCTGAAAACGGATTTCGGATGCATTGCACAGTTGAATGGCGTGAGGGAATTAGAGAATTTCAGGATGGACCGACTGCCTCGTCACGATTTTGCTGCGCTTATTTCCTATCGTTATGCGGGTGGTTTAGCGTTCGTCGGTGGAATGTGTACAGCTAAAGCGGTTATGTTATGTGGTGTAGGTTTTCTATTGTTTCATTGAGATAATCATATGTATGGTGCATCGACAACCGAGACCAATAATCTTTAGGTTTTCGTGAGTGTTATGAATGAATTAGTTCTTCAAATGAGCAATGAAATACTTTTGCGCAAAGATACATGTGCTTCGAACAGATCCAGTTAAGCTATTCCATCACGGTTCTGTTCTGAAGAACATAACCTATCAGTTGGCAACAATGGGAAGCAGAGCAGAGCAAAACTAACTGAAACAGTTCAGAGGGTGGAACAGAACAGAAAGGTTTCGAAACGTTAGGGTACCAGAATTGAACAGAGTGGAATAGTTACAGGGTACCCGGTCAATCTGCCTATAGACATTTTGCCTAACGGACAGTTTACCTAATTTACGGATTTTAAATGGATATTTCGCTTTATAGGCAAACTGTCCGTTAGGCAAACTGTGTTTAGGCAGATTGACCGGTCACGCAATTACAGAGCAGAGCTGGGTAGGACAGAGCAGCTTACCGAATGTGTGCAATAGGATTATGACTGATCCGGAACAAACAAATTACCAAACAAGTTTTCGTTAATTATGAGGAATCTTGCAATCATCTTCAATATCGTTCTCCTCGAAAAAGCCATTCGTTGATGTTAGGTAGTGGTCAAGTTCAATTTGCAATTGCAATTCAAATCATTCCGCTTGCCGTTTTCAGTTTTATCCACACCATCCAACTGCGATGGGCAGCATATTCTTCCACGAAGTAGCACATTTGATTGGAGTACCACATCGGAATGCTAACGAAACAATTGATGTTCCGAATTGTCACTGCAATCAAATGCATCCCAATGAGAAACCATCCGGACCGGCAGGCTGTTTAAAAATTCCGTGAGTGTTCAGAAATCAAATATTTTCTGTGTCACTTAAGCAGATCTATGTCGCTACTAACCTCATTTGCAGTAGATCAAAGCTGATCCATCAAATGAACCTAGTTCCTCATTTTCTTCGCGGCTCTGTCTATCATTTGTTAGCGATTTTGTTTTTGCTTTTGTTCAATCAAACATCTAATTTGTATATAACACATGCTTTTTAATGCTGATCCATAAGAATGACAATAAGTTACTATTCTATATGTAATTTAACGTGTACACAAAATGCTCACCTTTGTTCACAGCTGTTTGTTTCATTGTCTGTTATTTTAAACTGATTTCCTGACTCAATTTCATTAAAACTTCTTCTGAGGAAGGAGCATCGTCACAATAATAACATGTTTTCAAACGAAGTGATACTTTCAGTGGCTATGATCATGACTGCACACTGCAACAGATGGCCAATTTATTATATAAGAATCGATGCCTGAGGTCAAGAAAATCGTCGATATTCGATCAAATTTTAGTCGAAAAGTCGCTTCCAATTTGCGGCAACGGCGTCAAGGAGCAGGATGAAGAATGCGATTGCGGCATTGAAAGATATTGCTTCAATCTGAATTGTAGATCCGAAACATGCACTCAAATCGTTAAAACATGGCAAATGGTTTGTTTTATGGAGAATTTTGATCAATTTTTATAGCTCCTAGATCATTTGGAATCATTTTCAATGAGTATTAACCAGCGACAATATCGCTGCAACCATTGTTATTGAACAATCCTGCAAACGCAGCTACCTCTACTCTCCTGGTTATTTTAAGATGATAAACTGTATTCGGAGAATGAACTTCTCTAATCTTAAGGCTCAGATAGCTAATCTGGAGTTTTTGATGCGTTATTCATCATTTGATATCGTGAAGAGTGAAATTCTCGTGCGATTTTCAGTACTTGGGACTAATTGTAATCTCGGCATTGTTGTTCACAACGATAACAGTTTACATCTATTATCGTTTTATTCAATCGTGTTCTACATCGATCCCTTCGATGCACTTACCCAAACGATCCTGTCCGAAATTTGTTTCGGAACTGCCACATTCCAAGTACATTCGTTGCCTAAGGAAATTGCTTCCTTGTTGCTCTCATCGTAACTATCCGAACTACACGAATTCAATGCGTCGAGCTGGCAATTCACTCAGTTCCTCACATTTGATTGCGCAGAAAAGCAAGGTTCGTTCAATATTTCCTGGTTAAAATTCATACGCAATCATATGAAATTAAATTCAAAAAATCTCAAAAATGTCTAAAAATTCAATCTCAAATCACACGTCAAATTCTTCCATGCAGTTATCGTTGATGTATGCAATCGCATAGGAAATAAACGAAAAAAACAAACATGCAAAAACAATTTTCACTTGAGCGTTTTTTTAATTTGAATTCGTCCAGTGATTTGAGCGTTCCATTTGCTTATGATTATTCTTAATGATTGTCACTCGATTTTGAATAGAAACAAGATGCAAATACAATGTTTAACTTCGAGAATTTGCTGACTCCGAAAAAATCAAAACGAAAAAACGAATTTGATGAAAGCGATTTCAGTTAGATGCGAACAGTATCGTCGTTCTAATCGATCCGTGTGATAGCGAGCGACTCGTTCGAAAGCCTACATTCTCCAGACCCAAGAATCCACCGCCACCACCACCGATTGGCAAATTGAAGTAAGTGACTATCAGATTTCGAGAATCTTACGGAATCGCTCATAAAACTGATTAAGAATTGCATCATTTCAATTGACGAATAGATCAAAATGTCAAAGCGCTGATGATTGTGAATATTTTGTAAACGTTAACCCACAATATAAACAAATTGTGATGTTATGCATCATCGAGTGTAGTCAACGCGATTCGCCGAAAGGCACGAAAATTGGAAAAATCTCATACTACCCAATGAGAGAAACCTGCATGTGGGCGATTGAAGGAGATTCATGCAATAGTTTACCTGGATTACCTGGATTGGCCAGCCTATCTAACGTTTAGGACGTTGCTGGCCACAATGCTCGTGTTTCCGTGCACATTCTTTTAGTCTCAATTTAATCCACCCAGCTAGCTAGGCGAGCAGGCTAATCGAACACAGCCGAGTAATTAATTAGTTGCCGTGAATGCTTTGCATAATTAATCGTAGCCAAATATCCATCCAGTAAATAATCATAACTGTAATAAAACGATTATTCCGCCGATCGCTCACAGCGATTGACAAAACAACCACTCGATGTCCAAGTAACAATAATAATCATGCAATAGTATGACCAAAGAAATTCTATAAGTTTATAAGAACCAATTTCCTTTCAGAAGTGCTCCTGCAACGCCAACCACAGAATCCGCTAAAGTGGAAGCGACATCCAAATCGAACGATACAAGACTCACCAAGAAACCGCCGCCTCCTCCATTACCCTCAAAACCTCCAAAGTCTTTGTCGTCAATAATTGCTGACGCAAATCCTGACCAAGACGTTTACGAGGTTCCAAATAGTGTTCGAATGAGGTATTACATTACTGTTTTTCTTTGCATCCAAGTGTAACTTGAAGAATTACTGACATTTCGTACAATAACTGATATAATTGATCTTCGGCTTGAATTTCTCCCCAAACTCATCACCCTAAAACTGTGCCTGGCATTTCATTACGCGTCACTCATGAGACTAACCGTTCATTGGGCCGTAATTTATTCTCTACAGCTAGAATATCATGGTCTCATAAAAAAATTAAAATGATCCTGTGTGAAGAAGGTTGTCGAGTTTTCGATTTATTTTTGGTCTACAGTATCCCTGGTTTCCAATTTCAATCGATCATGTTCGAGTCCACCTCTGACATATTTGGTCTACAGCATTCCTGGCTTCCAATTTTCACTAACAATCAAGTTTAATTTCCATTCCATTGAACAATTTCCTGATCATGTGCCGTTGAAATTGCAGAACATCGCTCTCAAACGAACCACTCGAACTGTCCAGTATAAGGCACACGCAAGTGTCGACGACGAATTATGACAGTATATCGCGTAAATTCGACGATTTCGATGAAGAATCAGATGGCGATTATGACGATAGGGCTGAAGCTGATCAGACAAATGCTATACAATACACAAAAATATTGAGTAGAAACGAACGGCTCAACCCGAACAGCGATCAGCAGCATCAAACTCAACAAGAAAGAACTGGTGCGAACGTATCACAAGAACCAGGTCAATCATTTTTGATTTTACTGTCTGAAGAAGATTCTGCACTTAGCGTTTCCACTTGAATCCTCTATTTTATCGATGACTNAAAATTAGGGAGACCTTCCAGCCATTCTTTCAATATACTGGCTGAATAACTATTAAGCCTGATGGTATAAGAATATAGAAGTAGCCATCTTCAGGACAACCGTCTTCTCAGCTTTGCCCAGGAACACCTGAATTTCTGATTCATAATCAGTTGTAACTGTAAAACAGTGTGAAGGAATTTCAGAGAAGAATTCGAGTAGGCATGTCGTGGGGATATTGAGTGCATTAGCACGTGAGTTTGCACGTGTGAAACGGGAAGAATCGTTTTCGTCGAATGATTCGTCTGAACTGCGACAATGCGTTTCTGACGATACCGGTAGCACTGGTCTGAGTGAAGAAGACGATCGGCCGAATAGTATCAGCCAAGTTGTGAAACGATTTAACCAAACCAATTCGAATGCTTAGCAAAATTTACTGGCATCGTTATCGCTCAGATATTTGCGTGTTTCAGACTGCACAGAACCATCTTTAAGCATTTCCTTTTAATTAAACGAACACTGAAAATGAACTCGGGCATGTTTTGGTAGCTAACAATAAGCAATGCCCAATTATTCCACAAGATTTTCAATCTTCCGACGATTTAAGCTTCAATGTACTACCCAACACACCGTTCGGTTTCACATCTCCATTTCCGGCTCAATTCAGGAAAAAATCACAACGGAAATTTTGATCACACTCTCACAATTAGCAAAATAATTAAGGGATTCTTTGCACTGTTAAAAATCGTTATCGTTAATTTAATTTCTAAATTTTTGTTGATGTTTACTGTTTGTTTTGAAGTTGTTAATATGATATACCTTCAGTAGGAGTATGCTTTCATTGCGTTCATCAAACAGTTGAACAATACGCCGCATTTCATACTGCTTCTCATTTGAAAACAACTATCAAAAATGTGCTTGTAAATAAACTGTTCAAGTTTCATTGTTATTTGTTATTTAAATTATCATTTGAATTATACTTAATAAATCATTTCATTCAAGGATTTTCACATTAGATACATTAAGAACTCCGCTGAATATATAATATAGTTCGTGAAACATTCATAAAGCATGAAGCATAAAACCAGTGTTGGGCAATAGCGCGCTATTCCGCTAGTCCGCTAATAGCGAATAGCGGAATAGCGATATCGGAAGTTCGAGTGAATAGCGGAATAGCGATAGCGGGAACGGCGCTATCG